GTTGAGGGCCGCGACCGGGGCAGTATTGAATTGGCGATAGGAGCAAAGCTTTCGGAGTGAAATAAAGTGAACTAAAGTGTTAAGTGTGAATAATTATTAGTGTGATTGAAGTTTTAATTGGTGTTCAGTAATTAAAGTGTCAATTTTGGTAATTCAATCGGCAGTTTTGCTGTCACGAACCCTAAGCTCGTAGCAGTATCATATATAAAGTACTGATTTATATTAAAATCGTTAAGAAATTTGTGAAGCTTATCTTCGTTTTAAATTTAATCTTTATTTTATTAAAACCGGTTCATCGTATCAACAGTTATGATTAATATTCTAAAGTATAGGTACGAATTTGTTCAATGGTGGCGTTGAGTGATCAAGGATATTTTTGTAATTAAATAATGTAAAATAGTGTTCTGTAATGATATAATTATTGTATCTAAACACAGTAAACAAAAATAATAAAGAATAACTTAATAAATATTTATAAAAAATATATAAACCCTAATATCTTATCTTAGAACAATGTAACAATAGTTTACTCACTTATAATTTTTTGGTTAACCGCCAAGCACCTACATGGTAAATCAAATTTTAAAAAGATATTAACAATTTCTTTGGTTTCGACAAGGATCAATCCCTTTTGCAGTTCCAAGTTTTAAAATTTACACTGTCATGAAGTTGAAATATTACATTACCCGATTTTGAGCTGTTGAAGTGAAAACTTCTTTAGCATCGTTGTTATTTGAAACTGGATGAAACAAAAAAGCGACAGTAAAAAGAGACAAGTACGTAAATACGTATATATCACTATAGGATCTAGTCTAAGTGAGAATGAGATAGAATTCGGTGTAGTAAGCAAAAGTAGCCTAATGGCAGGGTGCGAACCGCGAACTCAAAAGTTGTTGGTTCGAATCTGTCATTCGATTATTATTTTTCAGCTTATCTTTGTGCGGAGCTTTAAAGATAGTTAATACCTATACATTTTGACTGTTAAAATAAACAGCTAAAAATTAACAAATTTATAAAATAAATAAATTAACCATATTGAATAAAATTATCTTAATCAATCCCTTCATTACAATCGACGATTTCATAACTTATTGATTTATATTAAATTATTCGTGTTTATATCATCTTACGCCTATCTTATGTACCGCTTTGAGAGTTAATCAATTTTTGTTCGATAAATAACTTTACCAATAGAATGAAGTAGATGGCGCTATTACAAAGCAATTTTATTTGAAAGAAAACTAAAATCGCAGTCTACATGTTGAAATCACAGATAAAATAATGACTGTTACATAAATATATAATGCTATAAAATTAAACTTTTATCTTATATTTTGCCGCACTTGTGGTTGATAATGATCATATTAAAAAAGTCCTTTGCTGTGAAATATTTTTATTTAATTTGAAGGTTTCATTTCTATCGCGCGTGAACTGCACACATGTTTTTTTTATATTATTCCTATCCGTTCTTTTCTAAATATCATATAATTTTTAATTTAATGTAATGTACAAATTACCTACTATAATTTTATATAGAGGGCGCTATAAGTATTTTCAAGCACCATAAGGTTTAATTATAAACGAGTTATGAAAGACACATAACATGTTAATAATTATTTTGTTTGCTTACTTTCAAACGCAATGTTTGTATTGGACCAGCAAATATAAGTTTCTTACTTTTATCCAACACAGCATTTTGAAGTCCACTGCTGAACATAGGCCTCCCCATTCATTGCCTCATATTTGACATAGTTTCCACAATCTATCACGCACGCTTTACTCGATTACGGAACCGAAGAAGCGGGTTATACATTATAATATACACCCAATATATTATGTTCCACGACTGAGTGAGCCATTCAATGAAATGTATATAAAAAAAGCATATCATTGTAGGCATTCTCATACTTCTTGGAGCGGGGAAGAGTCCGTAATGCCGAGCCGTCCGGATGCATTTGTTCTCTTTACTTTAAAATTTGTAATTAGTAATACAGTGCATATTATGAATTTATGTTTTTATTTGGTAAGTTAATAGGTACTTAAAATTAGACAAAAATCTTATTTTATATCAGAAGTTTATTTTTATTTCGTTTGCAAGTAGCATTTATAAAATTTCATTTATATTGGACATAGTTAAAACAAACAGAATAAAATTTAATTTGCCGTAAATTTGGTTTTGCGATTTACCGACAGATGTCACTGTTCACTGTGTATCTACGATATACCCTTTAACTTTTTATTTACTGAGTCATAGATACTAAACTATACTGAGTGACTAACTCATCTACCAGTGCACAAGCTCAACCTAAACCGCTTGAAGTAGAAATCTAAAATTTGGACAGTAGGTAGCTACCTTTTATGACTTCATCATTTTGGAAAATTCGATCCCTAAGAGGGTGAAACAAGGGTGTTTCAGTTTATTATTTTATTAAAAATATTTTACAGGTGGAGGTATAGATTTTGATATTTCTTAAAACTACCCTTACCGGGTATTTGAAGGGAGAAAAACTATATAATGCTTTTAAGTAATTAAATAATAAAATTTGCTTCTTACGGTATTAAAACAAGGGTTCAAATTTTGTATGAAAAATATTATATTAATTAAGCTCAAACCACTGGCTGTAGATGCGTGAAATTGGGGCAGTAACTTCCTTTTTTGAAGTCGGCATTCTCTAACAAAGAATTTTTGAAAATTTTAAATACATAGATAGTAAAACGTTCTATTACTGGGTTATTTCATATTTTTGTAAGGAAAAATTATTAAAAGATTACTGCAACTTTAAAATTAGTACGAATACTTTAGGATTAAAATAATGCAATTAGTTTTTTTTATTTTCCTAATATCTCATCTTAAATTGTGAAAACCAAGATAGATGGTTTGTGCGGAAAAAATGGCTTTTAACTGCATGGTGGTGGGGAAATCCGTAAAACGTAATCATGATAATAATGAATAATACCTTATATAGAACTTTACGCAAATCTGCCCCTATTGATCATTATATACAAGTATTAAGCATTATCTATTTATCATTGTGTCCGAGTTAGTAATCCGACAAAAATATAGTGAGATTAGATACTTTCTGCTTTCTGAGGCATAGGGATGAAACACTGCTAAACCCTTGACTCCGGGCTGCTACTGAGAATTTCTTGATAGAAATCCAAACTGATGTTAAGCCCGATGACACCTATTACTTAAAGGTCAAAAAACTTTTCTAGGTTGAGTTTAGTTTTATTTTTCATTTGTTTGCAGGATGAGACTAAATACAGGTACTGTTGCGCACCATAATTACTGCCTGGTACATGACGACATTAGTAATACCAGCGCCCTCTAATATCAAGTAGCAGAACTACGAGAGTCAAGATCCTTCTAGAGATTTCCATGCCAGAACTTTCTACACCTATTCAGTCGGAACCGGTATGTACTCGAAAATTCTGGATGTTTTAGTAGAAGAGGCCCTATATCAGGCCGGTATAGACCGCGACTCGAGGCAGTATTGAATTATCATCATGAACAAATGCGAACGAATAATAGGCGATACAACTGCGAACTAAAATGTTCACACCAATCGTGTTTTATTATTATGTAGTGTGTTTTAAGACGTAATTGGTATTTTGTAATTAAAGTGTTAATTTTGGTAATTTGATCGACCGGTTTTTTGTCAAGAACTCAAGCTCGTAACAATACTAACGCAATTTCATTTATTTTGTTAGTGTAGGTACTTAGGTAGGCACTGGATTGTAGTTTTCAATTTTTTTATGTAATATCAATAATTAGTGATGGTGCTTGTTTATTTAGGACAATATCTTATTTGTTGTATGGAAACCAAGCATTGACTAGGGAAATTCAGGAGCAAATTAGGGATTACGTTATTGCGGTTATTTTGTTATTTATTTACAAAATAAAACAAGCGTAAAATTGGCCCTATTCGTTTCTTGGTTCGTTTGTAGGTCCGTTTATTTTTTCGTTCGTTTGTTTTTCTGATTGACTGACTAACTGAATGTTTTTATTCAGATCAGTGCCTTTCTAAGTCTTCGCGACAGTTTAGTTTACAAATAAATCATCATCAATTAGAATAGCAAAAGTACTGATTCTACGCGAACGAAGTCTCGGACACAGCTAGTAATATAATGTTTTATGTAGATATGGTTATTATTATTATTAAATAACATAATTGATTAGACGTGTTTAACATCATCAGGCTACAGGGAGGTCAATGTCTAATAGTGGACTGCCGTGAGTTCGTTCAGTCGTTGAGATAGTAATATCAATGTATTCTATGTTATCTTAAGTAAACAGGAACTTTAAATTATTTAAATATCACGTAATATTATATTTACCTATCTTCATCAAATGCAAAACGACAATTAGACTGACGTTCTGAGTTCAGTCTAGTTTCTTCTTTGTAATAAATTAAAAGGTGAATGGGGATAAAATCGAAAATAGTGTAACATCGTATAACTTTATTTTTTAGAAACATTCTCCAATACAAATACAACATCATTTTATCATGCCATAAATTTTTGGGGCCTAATACCTGAGTTATGTGAATTTCATTTTTGTGTACTGTGTGTTTATTTATTGTTCGATTTTTCGTGTAAAATAATTTTATGCGACTTTTGCTAGAGTTAGATATGAAGGCAAAATTTTACATATTTTATCAAATCAGTAAATTTCTAACTACCATCATATTCCAAATACTTTCTTTTATTCATATTTTTTATGATTTTCAATTTTACCCCCATTTCATACCAGTCAGTGGTATCAAAATACTTTTTGTCCGTAGCAATGCAAAATGAATAGCCAACGTAACTTCTTATTGTATGGATACAGTTATCCGTTTTTGCTCCACTCTCGTTCAAACTCGTGAATTTCATTTTTTTAGATAAGGGTTGTTTTATTTGACAAATATGAAGATGTTTTTATAAATTTGATTAATACTGATTAAAAATATTCAAGCAAAACATAAATAAATTGTAATTATATCCAAAAATGTGTATTTTTATTCAGCTTTCACGTGTTCTTCACTTTTCTGAATTGGTTCCGCCTTGTCGATCCTTATCGTTCTCTCCATGGATAATCGGGGAGTGACAGACGCAACTGCAGGTGTAGCATGTACTTCTTCCGGCAACTTAAGTAAATCAGCGATCCATTTAAACCTGAATGTAAAAAAAATTGATAAATAGAGACGTTTCTTAATAAAACACATGAGCGGGCACTTTACCGACGACAGGAGCTGCACTCTTGCAGTGCTAGAACTATACTCGGACTAACGTCCTAGCACGATCTTAATGTATCCTTTTGTTAGTTGATTGCAAATAGTTCAAGAGCAAGTAAAAAGAAAGAAGAATTGAAAAATAACTTAATAATTTCTCAAAATGCACACGCACTAGCACTCCAAATGCCATTGGTTACCGTTTGCCGCCACTTTCGTACGACGATACCAGTTATGTGGACTGTCATCGGAGTGTCGCTATTTTGTACGAACTCTAAACCCAACAAGACTGAATATGTTAGAAGCTGATTACGTCTCGAATCTTTGTTTATTATACGTCACGTTATGATGCAGATTAGTATGGGCAGGGTTAAAGCGGTATAGAATTTTGTTATAAAAAATTCAGAGCAACAAAGAAAGGTAGACGGAAAACTGCGGACATTTCAAATGATGTTGAAACCATGCTCAACTTCTTGACATGCTTACTTTTAATCTTTCTTTTTCTTTCTTTATGAGCCCGTAAAAGTTTACTGCTGAACGCACACATATGTATGCTCCTAAAGCCATGTTGTTGGATGTTAATGATTTAAGACTTATAACATGTAGGTGAGTGCTTACAATAGTTTGAGCATAGTTTTGGCTTGGTTTTTGCAGAATTTGGTTTAGTGTTATGATATGCGTATTATTATTTTCAGTATGTTAAATATTTTTCAAAACAAAGGTACCTATACTCAAAAAAAAAATCAAATAATTTTAGAGTAGGGAATACTTCCTTGCTCTCTCGGGAACCTAAGTATACAGTACACTATAGTGTAAAGAATCTAAGTGTTGAATAAAATAACAAATTCCTCCACTAACTCTTATCTACTTCGAAGTCAAAAGATATATTTAAGTTATAAAACCCGCCTGCCCAGTTTAATATATTTCACTATATTATTATGATGTTATAGTAGTATTAAATGAGGGGAAATAAAAGAAAAACGTTAATTTCAATACATATTATTTTGAAATACCATCTCAACTTTTGGTACATAATAATACAAAATGTAAAAAAAATCACACACACTATGATACATTATGACAAAACTCAAAGATTCACGCAGTGCTTAAACAAACAATGGCCTAATTAATCTGTGCTAAGTACCTTAGAATAAATTATTTATTCTTTAAAATAGTTGTGATCTCATCTTTAATATATTCTTAGCACCAAAGATGTTTACTTTATAGTGCATTTGTTAAAACAAAATCCATTTATTTAATGTCAAAATCAGTGAATGGTAATTCATTGAATTTTAACGGAGATTATAAACAGCGCATCAAAGAGAACTTACTTTAGTATTAAAACTGTATCATTGTAATTGTAAATTATTATAAATAGGTATATTGTGATTGTTACATTTTTTATAAATGCTTTGAAAATTGTTTTTTTAAAGTTAAATTCGTAAAATTATAATTGGACATAAATTATTCAGTTTTAAAATTAAATTAATGATAATGTTATATTTTCTAAATTGTTTAGACAATACTCTTAAATAGTTGGCAGAGAGGAAGTAAATTCATAATTTAAAATGAATTTTATGATACAAATTAAAACCATTATATTATATAATATACATGTAACAAAAACCCTGTGGTTCCCATTAAGTGCGTTATCAGAATCAATATTCTAACATATAGAAATATTTTTTTTTTAGAAAACTCGACCATTAATTTTTTTTAATTAATTAATTTGAAAAAAATAAATTATTAGCAAATTTTATGTTGTTTTATTATCTCTAACTGACACGCGCATCGGCAAAGCGAGGTTTTGGACAATCCTTTTACTCCCCGGACAATGCAGAGTAATAAAACCACATACAATTTGCAAATTTAAATTTATGCAAATTAAATAAAAAAAATTATTGTCGAGTTTTCTAAAAAAAAGTTATTTCTATATGTTTGAATACGGATTCTGATAACGCACTTAACGGGAACCACAGGGTTTTTGTTACATGTTGTATAACATTAAATTCAATACGAACTGCTATAGCTTACAGATAGTTGTTTAAATGGTATTACACTTTCTCTTTAATTACGTTGAAATTTACTATTGATCAAAAACTATGCCAAACTTACTGTTGCCACAACTACCCCGTTTTATACAGAAATACTTGATGAAAGTTTAAAATCTTCTAACATTTGAGTTCTAATATGTTATTATTTATCTTTGAAATCAAAACCCTGACAAAAAATAAGTAAACTAAGATGGTAACGTAAAAAATTAAATTGATTTATTTTTGTTTGAAATACTCTTTTTTTCCCAACCCAATATTGTAAATTTTCAAAAAAAAAAGGTGGCATACTACTTGAACAATAAATTGAAGCCAATAATTTGTGCTCAATGCGAAAAGTTACTTATCTTATATAACACACGCAAAACTATACCAAAAAAATCAGCTGCAAGCAATAGTCAAATAAATAAAATATGAGCTAGATAAATAGATCAATCTCAGAATATTTTGATATGGCAGCCCTATCCAATGATGCCGGAGATCGTAGTAATGAAAGGTATTTCCTCGTGTCTTAAAATTATTAGTTATAATAAATAAAACATGGCGCGCACATAAATAAATAATGTATGAATACAGCTTCAATTGTGTGCGTTAGTAGTCATTACTAATGGCAGATGACGTATGTATTTGAAAAAAAAAATGTTTTTAATACTAGACCACACAAACTTGCACCTACAACAATCATAGATTCGACTAGAAAATTTTAACAACATTATAGCCTCAAATTGGAATAACTCAAGTTAAACCATGCAAGAATCTATCTTCGTTGTAGGTTTGGCTGACATATTGAGCAAAAGGATAAAATAATTAATCAAATTACAATTAAAAACAGTCTTCAATTGTCTTTCTCGAGAATTAAAGTAAGATAACCTTAGCTTAGTACATGAGATTATTTACTCTATGCAAGATTGAATTTACTAAATTACATTAAACAATTTATGGCAATATTTTATTTTTAAGAATCTAGTAATCATGGAAATAAAATCATTATCTTTTTTATATAAAACATTCAATTACAAATTATTCACATGTAAAATAAATAATATCCCAATTATAAAAATAACCATACCTAGTTAACAAATTCAGTCTCATTGGTTTAAATACAATCATAATTAGTTATTCACATACATTTCTTTCCTCAAAAACTTACTGATAATACAATATTGTGTTGTGCAGTGTCAATTTAGATATTACAAAATTATATTGGAAAAAAAGTGAAATTTTAATAATAATTATTTTTATTCATGTTTTTATATTTCATTAATAATTTTAACTGTTTTATATAGCTTGTATCTATTTTAAAAATTAATATTTCATTAAACCATATTCATAGTTACATAAGTTTATGTTCAAAATAATGTTGAACAAAATCCAAGCAAACAATATACGACTAACAATAAAATATGTCTCGTATATCCCTAGAACAAAAATACCTAGGAGTATTGTAATCGATAACTTCATTACAGATTCATGTCGTTTAATATTAAATTCATGCAAGTATATATATATAATATCAGTTAGCAAACGATATTTTTACTTATCGTTAGGAGTTCTTCTATCGAAATAAAATGGGGCACTTAATCCATTTCATCAAAGTATACTGGTTTTGTTTAAAATTTTAAACTATGTTCCCTAGTAACCCATTCAGAACTTTGTATTTTATGAACTATACCGATGATATATTTATTTTTTAATTATTCTTAGTTTGTAAAAAAATTAAATGTAACAATTTTAAAATAGGTGTTACTGGTTTTTGCACTGATGCAATCGATTCGGTAACCATACATTGGCTCAACAGCAATTCTTAATTTTTCAACTATGTACAAACAATTAATTGTTTATCAGAAAGGTTTTGTCGTCTTCAAACGAAGCATTTGTTTTGCGCTATTTAAAACGCGCCGAATTCGAGTCAAAATACGTCGGCAATGCGACCGTTTTGCTCGACATCAGGTTCCGCGTGCGTCAGTTGTTGAGGAAAGAGACGCAATGTGCGACCGTGTTGACGTTTTCCACCAACCTGTTGTACAACTCTCGTCGCACGCTGGCGGTGAACTTGCTCACGAGGCAGAGCGTCACTGTTGCGGCAAAGATCGCGTTGTACAGCAACACTAACTTGAAATTACCCAGCCACTCTATACGGCCGAATTCGCCCAGCAAATCGAAGTTTGTAATGCCTGGAACGATAAAAATTTAATTAACTTGGAATTTCGGAATAGAAATAAGGTGACGCCAATCCAGTGTTTGTTTACGGGGAATTTACAAAAAAAAAAATATTTTTTGATCGACGATTTTTTTTTTAAATTCTTTTTCCAGTCCTCTAACTTTTGTTTTTGTGGGTTATTAGTATTATTGTGTTTCTTCTGTAAATAGTGCAGTTGATTGCCCTCATATTATCTTATAGTTTTTTTTAGTATTAAACTATGTAAAATATAACCTATGTATAATTGCCGGCACAAGTCGTGAGCACACTTTTTATTGGTCGATATGACGTTGACCACGCTGACGCTTAACGTGATTGGTACGTCAGCCGATTCTCTCGTCTACTGGGTTCGCACGTATAATATATATATATATATATATATATATATATATATATATATATATATATATAGCGTACACTTGAGAGCAATTTTAGTGACAACTTTTTAATTAGTTTATTTTTGTTAATTGTAGTGTTACCTCGTTGTTAATTGTTGTTTGTGTATTTCTTGTTTTAAACTATTTTTGATATTTATTGTTGTAATTTTTTTTTTGTTATAATTTGAGCATTCGGATTTTGGGCTAAATATGCAGAGAAGAAAGAATTCGGTGTTAAATAGACAATCCCGACAAATGGTCTATTCATTGTTTTATTACATGAAATAATTAGGTATTGCGAAAAATATGATAGTTACGATAATACGTTTATAAACAGACTGCTAAGGCGACTAATGTCTACGTAGCTACTGTACGACGTATAGTTAAAGGAGTTAACGACTCAGAATTACGAAAAAAAAGTCAGCGAAAATATTCAATTATGAATTGAAATAACAACAGTACCTAATACTTTTGGAGTGTACCTACGCTGGCACAACCCCCACCATAGTTCATCTGTGCTCACGTTTCGTACCGGCAACTATACGCCTTCAATACAACGGTCCGGTGGCTGTGTATGAATATCCACTACTTCCATATCTTTCCGTGGGTGTAGGCGACAAAGGGAAACAAAACCAGATGGACAACAGCGTTTTCCTAAGAACAATTAAAAATCATGAAACTGCGGCTGCCAACACATGACAAGCGTGGCAGCTATGGTAAATATGCTCCCTGGACAATCTATGGGAAGGACTATGTTCAGCAGTGGACTTAAGAAAGCCTGTATGGGATGATCCATGCCTTGAATAGTATATGCGCGTCAGGAGTTTGTACTTGTCAGGGTTTTCCTTTTTCGTGACAATGGTGATGATGATGACGTTTTTGACGTGATAATGTATCTAAAGGGCTTTTAAAGTCGCGAGTAAAATTGAAACGGTTTATTAGTCTACAAATAATTTACTTGTAATTTACTCTAAATTTACACAAGTTAGACAGTAAGCTGAAAAAGTGAATGCTCTTTTAAGATATATCGAAAAGTGTCTCTTCATTGAATAGGGTGAAGCCTGAGCAATTGACGGGAAATTCAACACGCCAGAAACAGGTGGAAATGGAGAAATACTCATGAAGCATTAAAAAATTATGTGAATACCTATGTCAAAAAAATTGGGAAAGAGTATTATAATTTAATATGAATGATTCGAACCCACCACTTTTTGAGTAAAGCATTTCTAACTACAACAATTAGACTTCTGTCATATAACTAAGTTAAAATTTAATAGCACTTCAAATCGTATTTAACAGTTTGATTCATGTCGACGGGTACGGACGCACCCACATCCCATCTTTTTTGAAGTGAAAACTTCTTTATTAACCTCTCAACCCCCTAACGGTCTCATGAGACCTCGGCCATTTGCCGTCAAATCCCTAGCGGTCTCATGTGGTCGCACTCACCCACAGCGCTTTAACCCATTAACACTTATATAAGGAAACTATTTTTTTTTGAAGAAGTTTGGCATTATACAATCAATATGAAATACTCTATCCTCCACTGCAATAAAAAAAACTGTTATCTTATGAATATTTATTTATAATCTACGTTTATTTCGTACGCCATTTTCTCGTGAATATTATTGTGTTGATTTATGGATTTTTCTAGTGTTTTAGTATAGTGTTTTATTATAAAATTGTAATGAAAGTTTTTGTGTGAATATAATTTATCTTTTTACGTAAATAATTTCGAGTAATATATATTGAAATATTAATTGTGATTTTCACGCTGCCGACATTCGCTTGTTATGTTTTTTTTGTTATCAAAGTACAATAAAATCTTTTTGTAATGAAGTAAAATCTGACTTTTATTTGGACCACAAGATAGAGATAGAGAATTTCTTATAGATTTTATAATGCTAAAGTGCTGTCTCGGGACTCGGGATTTGCCGGACGCATGCGACTGCATGGGATTTCAATGGCGCTTGAAGGGTTAAATTTTTGATTGGCAACTCGATGAAACAAAAAGGCGACATTTAAAGGGGACCAACATATACATCTATAGAATTAAGACAAATTATTATTATTCCTCTCATTCTCTCGTAGTTTAGTTTTCTGAAGGTTTCACTTGTACCGCGTGTGAACTGCGCACAGGAGGAACTTTTATTCGTAACGCACCCAGTATCTTGACGAGCAACGGCTGCGCGGTGGAGTGCGCGAGCAGCAGCGCGCACAGCGCTATGATCCTGGTGAGGGGCGTGCGCTGCGCGCGCGGCAGCAGACGCAGCGCTCGCATCGGCGCGCTCAGCCCCGTCAGCGACGCCGCGTGCAGGTACAGGATCAGGAACGCCTCCAGCGTGGCGCCCGCCCAGCCTAGCTTCGACAGTGATGCAATGCCCAGTGTAAATTGCTGCAAGACAAAAGTTATTAAAAATTATTAATCGGTATTTACGTTTGAATGCATGCTTATTTTAAGGCAACGTTTGATTTTCTCTTAAAGTGTTATACAAGTACTTCAAATGATTACACTATAAAAAATATTACATACGCGAACTCACAACTAAAACATATCGTCAGTATAAAGTGTAAAGCTGCAAAATCAATTTTTTATCGTCATTACGTTTTTCCTTCCATTCGAAAAAGAAAACAAAATACACAATCTGGAAAACCAGCTACGGTCAATTCTAATTTAAAATTATAAGTAATGGTCGTGTATTTTTTAGGTTTAACCACTCAACTCCCTAGCGGTCTCATGAGACTGTGGCCATATTCCGTCAAATCCCTAGCAGTCTCATGAGGTCGCACCACCCACAGCACTTTAACCCATAAACACTTATATATAAAGACTACTTTTTATGAAGAAGTTTGGCATTATATAATCAATATGAAATACTCTATCCTTTAGTGCAATAAAAAGACTGTTATCCTTAGAATATTTACTTATAATCTACGTTCATTTCGTACGACATTTTCGCGTGAATGTTATTGTGTTGATTTTTGGATTTTTCTAGTGTTTTATTAGTGTTTAGTATAGTGTTTCATTATAAAATTGTAATGAAAGTTTTTGTGTGAATATAATTTATCTTTTTACGTACTTATATATTTTCGAGTAATATATTATATTGAAATAATTGTGATTTTCACGCTGCCGACATTCGCTTAGTATGTTTTTTTGTTATCAAAATACAATAAAATCTTTTCGTAATGAAGTAAAACCTGACTTTTGTTTAGACCACAAGATAGAGAATTTTGTATAGATTTTATAATGCTAAACTTCTTCATAGAAATGTAGTCTCTAAATATAAGTTTTAATGGTTTTAAGTGCTGTTGGTTGCGGTCGCATGCGACCGCTAGGGATTTGCCCGGCGCATGCGACTGCATTAGATTATGGCGCTTGAAGGGTTAATGTTTAACAATATGAATTAAATTTCTCAAATAATTAAAAAAAAGAGATATTTACCCGTGTGCTAAGCGGGAGAGCTTTGATACCAATAAGGAGTTCCAAGGTGTTCTGCAGCACCATAAGCACCGTGATCGTAGTGAGCGCGAGCAGCAGTAACATCGCCAGGGGATACACTACATTGCGCTGAAATGACGACGTTTTACGCTGGTCTTCCACTTCCTGAGGATCAATTAATTAACATTTCATAATATTTTATTTTGTTAAAATTTATCACTTAGCAGCACTGGATTGACGATAAAGCAAAACATTGCAAGGAAATCGGCATGTTTAAGATTTTTTTATTTAAATTTTTAAATAATTAAACTAATATTATATATGAGTATTGTTACGAGCTTGAGGTTCGTGACAATAAAAATTGCCGATAAAATTACCTAAATTAACACTTTAATTTACTTTACACAAATTAAAACTAAAAACACTAATAATTAAACACACTAATTCACTTAATTCCGCTCCGAAGCTTCGCTTGTGTCGCCGAGTTCAACTCTGCCCGATCGCATCTTGCAGCGCCTACTTATATAAATTAGCAAAATATCTAGAATTTTCAAGTAAACACGCGCAAGGTACCGAGAGTTCGAGTTTTAAACTTCAAGAAGTTTAGTTCTTCGGTTCGAGACTAGATGGCGCTAGTGCGCCGATTTTAGCGCGTAACACTGCCCCCTCCTAAGACATGCTCGTCCCGAGCATTATCGGTCCCATAATAACGCACTAGGCGATCCACATGGACGATCTTAGGAGTCCCTCTTGCGCCTTTCTGTATCCGGTAGGTTACATCGTTGATCCTGGTCACAATCGGGTACGGGCCGTCCCATTTAGCTTGAAGCTTAGGAGATTTCCCTTTGCTGCGGACTGGATTGTGCAACCACACAAGTGAACCTTCGTCGAACCCTTTGTTGTTCATTTTGCGGTCATACCGGGTTTTCATCTTTTCAGACATTTGCTGGCCCGATTGTCTGACGTGCTCATAAACGTCATTCATTTTGTTCCGCAAGTCTTTTGCATAATCGGTTATACCGCGTGGAGCATCAGGTGGTATCCCGGTGATCAGGTCTGCAGGCAGCCGTAATTCTCTTCCAAAGTTTTCGAAAGCTGGTGTCACTGCTGTACTTTCGTGAACAGCGCTTCGATATGACAACAAAAACGGTTGTATGTGCTTGTCCCAATCTCGTTGCCGATTGTCTACAACTTTTGCTAGGTACCTCTCCAATGTCTGATTAAATCGTTCTACCATTCCATCAGATTGCGGGTGACAAGAAGTCGTTCTTGTTTTATGAGTACCCATAACTCGGCAAGTTTCCTGGAATATTTGAGACTCAAAATTCCTTCCTTGATCGCTGTGAATCTCTAAAGGTACACCAAAACGACAGAAGACTTCATGAACTAGCTTATCAGCAACTGTTGAAGCTTCTTGATTTGGAATGGCGAAGACTTCTGGCCACTTAGTGAAGTAATCCACCACAACCATGAAATACCTGTTACCGCTTTCACTCTCCGGAAACGGCCCCGCCACGTCAATGGCTATTCTCTCCCATGGTGCACCAACATTGTACAACTTCAATGCACCTCTACTACGAGTCTGAGGTCCCTTTACAGCCGCACAACTTGTACATTTGCGACACCAGTCCTCGACATCGTTTCGACAGTGGACCCAGTAAAACCGTTCTCGGATCTTCAGTAGAGTTCGTTTAACTCCCAGATGGCCTCCTGAACAATCATTATGGTACAGCTGTAGAACATCCGGTATTTTAACTTTAGGGACAACCATTTGCAAATGACAGCTGTCTCCCCGAACGTTTTCCCATTTACGACACAGAACTCCATCCTGAAGCAGCAAGCTGTCCCACTGGGCCCAATAGCTTTTAGTGGTCGAACTCATCGCTGAGACGTCACTCCACTTGGGCTTGGGAGCACTGGCCTTTATCCATTCCAGAATCGGCTTGATGTCCGGATCTTCCTGCTGTGCATGTAGTAAGCTGTCCTTCCACTCGTTGCTGAGGTGGTCTGCCCTGAGCATCCTCACGGATACCACTTCCTTACTCTCTTGCCTAGTACAATGTTTGCAATCTTCAGGACAAGGTCTTCTTGACAATGCATCTGCGTTGCCATGAGATTTCCCGCTGCGATGTCTGATAGTAAAGTCGTATTCCTACTGCTGCTGGGCGGTGCTGTTAGCCGCACTTCCTTTCTAAGACCGTTCACCTTCCCTTCCTAGGGTGTGCTTCGGGCAGCTGGACCGAAGATGGCCACTTTCCCCACAGCCATAGCACCTAGGGCTGTATCTTCTATTGTGGTCGCGAACCGTAACTGCTGCAACCTCCCTAGCGTGAGGTGAACGACGATCCTGTCGCCGCCAGGCAGTGCCGTTAGCTGCACTACCCTCCTGAGATCGATCAACTCTCCTTTCCACGGTTCGTTTAGGGCAGCTGGATCGAAGAGGGCCCTTTTTCCCCACAGCCATAGCACCTTGGGCTGTATCCTTTGTTGCGGTCGCGAACTGTAGCTGCTGCAACCTCCCTGACACGATGGGAACGATGGTCCTGCCGCACGGCTTCCACTTCCAGTGCATGGGCCAAGGCGTCCTTAAGCGTCTCGTGGTGCCCGAGCCTCACAACAGCTCTGACTTCCAGGTCGCGGATGCCGTCGATGAATGTCTGCACCAGGTTCCCTTCAATGAGTGCAGGTACAGACCGGTATGCTTTTCGCACCAGCTTCTCCACTTCTAGAGCCCACTGCTGCAGGTTTTCGTTGATGCGCTGCACACGATCTTTAAGCTGCGCACGAAAGACGTGTTCCAGGTGAGCGTCACCATATCTCGCCTCCAATGCCTCAAGGAGGTGCTCATAAGTCACTTCCTCACCGAGAGCTTCTAGAACTGTTAAGGCCTGGTCGCGCAGGCCTAGTGTGAGAGCAGTCATGGCCTGACTTTTATTCCAGCCGTTCGCCTTCATAACAGCCTCGAACTGGATTTTGTAGGCTGACCAGGAAGAAATCCCGTCGAATGGTGGCACCTTGAACCCACGTAGCGAAGGTGTAGTAGCTACTACGGAAGCTGTAGTTCCCTCCCCAAGTTTGAGTTCGTCAAGTGATTTCTTCATGTCAGACATTAGGTTGTCAACCCTATTGTTCACTTGGTCGATTCGGGTTTCAGCTTCCGACAGGCGGTTTTCATGTTGAGCAACCTTATCCTTCACCTCCCTTATCTCTTTCCCGAAGGTAGCGTGAATGTCCTTCATGAGGAGCATCTGCTCTTCCTTATCGCGCTTGAGCTGCTCTTCCAACCGACGGGCCTGTTCCTCCTGTCGGCGAGCCTGTTCCTCCTGCTGCTCTTTCAACAGACGGGCCTGTTCCTCTCGTCCGCGCTGCAGCTGCTCCTGTAGCATCGCCATCAGAGCACCTAAGTCAGGTGCTGCAGATGTAGGAGCTACTGACGGGCCTGCAGCCAGCGGCTGACCCTCAGGAGCTACTGACCGGCCTGCAGTCGGCGGCTGGCCCTCCGCCGTCTGCGGCGTTGCACCACCAAATCTTCGGTGGTCCGTCTCCTGCTGGCGTTGACTTCGGGTACGGACACCCTCCGTTTCCTCCTTAGGTAAAATCGGCATGATTTTATCCCACTTCTGACACCAATTGTTACGAGCTTGAGGTTCGTGACAATAAAAATTGCCGATAAAATTACCTAAATTAACACTTTAATTTACTTTACACAAATTAAAACTAAAAACACTAATAATTAAACACACTAATTCACTTAATTCCGCTCCGAAGCTTCGCTTGTGTCGCCGAGTTCAACTCTGCCCGATCGCATCTTGCAGCGCCTACTTATATAAATTAGCTACAAAAAATATCCAGAATGTTCAAGTAAACACGCGCAAGGCACCGAGAGTTCGAGTTTTAAACTTCAAGAAGTTTAGTTCTTCGGTTCGAGACTAGATGGCGCTAGTGCGCCGATTTTAGCGCGTAACGTTATTAATAGTGAAACTAATAAGGTCAACTCTGGCAATTCAAACTACGAATTAAGTTTTAACAACAAATTAACTGAATCAGACCAGGACGTTGCATTGGTTTTTGAGAAATATTTTACTGATATTCCGATCTTAACCACTAAATCACTGAATTCTTCTCCTGCCGTCGCCGAATCATTACTTAAACAAAAGGTAAATGCGAGTGCAAAGAATTTTACATTTTATAAAGTATCATCAAAAGATATTGTAAAATATTTTAAAACAGATCTGTGGGGGATTTCCGTCAAAGTTATTGCGTAATAATGAAGCCTGAATAGTAAGTAATGAAGCCTGAATAGTAAGATTTAGATTTGATTTGATGTGATTCAAACTTCACCTTTTACGACGTGTTGAGCTCTTCACACGTTTTAGAGCTGTTTCGACTTTGATCTGGTTTGCGGCAATAGACGCAGTTTTTTAAGCTTAACAAAAGCATTTGTCACGAAAAAACTGATTTGATGAATTTTTTTCAAGATATTTTGAAAAATCACTTTTTCGAAATTTCGTTCGACAACGATATCTCTCGAACGAATCAAGCGATTTTGCTGCGGTGCACAAAAATCGACATCGTTTTTTGAGTAGAAAGGCTGATTAGATTATAGAATTGATCAAAACAAAGGTGTCTAAGTAGTTCCAAAAACAAAAAACATTATGAAAATTAAAAATACTTGAATTTTTAGGTTTTCATAATGATTTCTTATATTTACGCGAACACTATACATGATTAAAACTACTTTTACGGATTTTATCGCGTTTATTTTTACTTTTTATTTACTTTTATTTTTAATTCCCGACGTTTCGGGTGCTTCCCAGCACCCATGGTCACGGGGGACTGAGATGACTGACGTCCCGATGTCATTGTTAAACCCGGAGTACCTTCAGCTTTTTAATTATTGTTTATGGTCCAATCTATGCAAAATGAACTGACTATGTCCTGAGGTCTTGCAGTGGTATGCTTGGGTTTAGTTTTAATTTTATTTATTATAGGATCCCAAGCAGGTGGTAGTACCCAGCCTCCTTCTCTATTGAAATTAGGATGTTTTTTAATTTCAATAGCCTCACGTATCATCCTTGGTAGGAATCGGTCGGAATAAGATCTAAAGTTATGAGATGATTACACACACACGCACACGAACATGCACGCGTACGCGTACGCGCACACGCAGATACGCACACGCAGTTACGCGCACATGCACACACGCACGCACGCACGCTGGCACGCACGCACACGGAAATCATCGCAAAAATAGCCAGAATAGCTTCCTAGGACCTCGAAACGTCGAGATGTGATGAGAACTCGATTTACAAAAACCAGGGTAAAAAAAATTACATCCCGATTTTTTGAAAATCATTGATTTTCATAGCGGGAAGTTCAAATTAATGTTAATAATTTATTTCTTAAAAATCTATTCGGTTTCACAGAGGGTCTTGATAACTGATACTGGTGTTGATCTGATCAAATATATCTTTAATGCATGGCGGAATTCACAGGATTCTTTGGGTATATTCTGTGACCTATTACAAGCCTTCGATTATGTATAGCATGAAACTTTAATCAGTCGATAATACAAACGAGCGTGCCTCAGGGCTTAATTCTCGGCCCATTTCTGTTTCTTATATATATTAATGACACCTTACATGGTAGGAGATAACCATGATATAGTATTATTTGCTGGTGACACTTCCTTAATTTTCAAATAAAAACGACAATTACTAAAATATGGCGAAGTAAACAATGCTATATCCAAATTAGTAAATTGGTTTAATGTTAATAATTTGAATAGCATTAAAACTACATGTATGAAATTCATTATTCCAAATGTCAAACGTTTAAATACCAACGTAATTTTAAATGGGGAGGAGCTGAGTCTTGTCGATACCAACATTTTTCTTGGAATTACACTGCACGGAAAGCATATAAAATATTAGAAATCTTACCAGTGTTGAAAACGCTAGATTAGCTAACTTTAGCTATTTCCATAGCACTATGTCGTACGGTATTTTGCTATTGGGACACTGAAATTATATTTTTTTTACAGAAGAGGGCAGTAAGAGAAATCTATGATTTAAAACATAGAGTCGCTCAGACAAAAAAAAATTAAGGAGATTATTAAATAAATTTGGCCTCAATACATTTATGAAAAAGTATTGTACGTACACAAAAATAAAAGTAGTTTTACAAAAATAAGCAATATTTATTCTGTAAATACTAGGAACAGACACAAGCTGGTAGTACCAGCTACTCGACTCCACCGAGTCAGTAATTAATTCTTGGGGCGATGTATATACCTATACGCTTTACAACAAAATCCCAGAAAATAAGCAAAAATTGACCTGTTCAGAGTTCAAAAACTTTACTAAACTAAGTTTGTATAAAAAGGGGTAATTATAGTATTGAGGAATTATGCATGATAATAACCCCGGGGAATGAGGTAATCGCTACCAAGCTATTTCTAATGTGTTTTGTGTTGTTAACTGTGTAACATACTTGATGAAAGTTGTTAATTAAAAAAAAGTCCAGCTGGATTTCTTGCTGGTTCTTCCCGAGACAGAGGTTTATTTCCAAACTATTGGTAACTAAGCAAAAGAGTGACTTTCAATAATTATTGTTTATAATCCATAATAAAGAAGTTATCTTTACTATCATAAAGAATACAAAAGTTTCTGTTAACTGTGTTATCAGAATCACTATCCAAGCATATAGAAATAATTTTTTTTTTCAAAAAATCTAATAAAAAAAACTTATTTTGATGTAAAAAAATTAATTTGCAAATTGTATGTGATTTTATTATCTCTAACTTACACGAGTATCGGTACTGCGGGGTCTTTGACAATCCTCTTACTCCTCGGCCAATGCAGAGATAATACAGCAAATTAATTTTTTTTACATCAAAATAATTTTTTTAAATGTGTTTTTTGAAAAATAAATTATTTCTATACGCTTGGATACTGATTCTGATAACGCAGTTATCAGTTTATATATATACATATACAAAATGTATCAAAAACCCTTTGGTTCCCGTTAACTGCGTTATCAGAATCAGTATCCAAGCGTATAGAAATAATTTTTCTTCAAAAAACACATTTAAAAAAATTATTTTAATGTAAAAAAAATTAATTTGCAAATTGTATGTGGTTTTATTATCTCTGCATTGGCCGAGGAGTAAGAGGATTGTCAAAGACCCCGCAGTACCGATACTCGTGTAAGTTTTAACTCAAAGCGACAGACAGACATTGTGACACAAAGTGGACTTTTTTAATTTAATTAGAATTATTAACATTATATTATAGATCGATCTTGTTTTGAGTCTTATCCATCAGAAAAAAGAGGTTTCACGTTTTTTTGTTTTACACTAATTAAATTTTAGGAAATGAAATTTTTCAAAATCGAAATAGTAGAAATGTGAAAAATGTATGACGTAATAAGAAGTGTTTTTCATATAGATTAGGATTATTACGAAGCTGTTAATCATCTGAATCTGAAAACGTCACGTAGTCACCTCAACAACATACTCAAATTGGTCGTTACCTATTGTTCGACGTTTTTTCTATAGCTCAACTGTCTTCCTTACAGCTAATAAAACCAATTGCTATTGTAATTCCTCGTGTTGTAAAACTGTCATACTAAATATATATTTAAATGGTAGATAAATATTTAATTTACAATTGTATGATGAAGTCATTTCGGTAAATAAAAAACAACAAATAAGTATACATAATAAAGAACACTTTTTTAATAGAATTAGGGTTACAAATTATCACACAGTCTGATGGAGAATGAATGAAGTGACCTATATACAAATACGTTTTCTCGATTAAGAATTAAAATGTAACTCCCGAGGATTAAGACGGAGTAGTCCGATATTTCTAAATGATCTCCGGCTCTCGTCACTCACAAATCATATTGAACCATCTGGATGTTAGGTAAAAGCCTTTTTAAAGTTGTTTTTAATATTGAAGTGACAAAAAACCTACAGTGGAGGACCCTTTAGGTTTTTGTCACTTCAATATTGAAAACGAAAGAAACAGTAGCAATTTGCTACGAGGACCGCACATGGACAATTGCAATTAGAAATACGAATAACTGCTTAAAAAGTTAAATATATAATTTATACTAAAACATACTTTCATATGTAACGGCAATTTTATGAGTAAAACGTACGTACTTTACTTTATCATAATGTCAGAGTACTAATATTAACTCCTTTCTAATTATTCCCGCTTCTTTGAGTAGGTAGATAAGCGATTTTATTTAAGACGAGCTCTTATCACGATTATACAAATTTTAGGAAATCTAATTAGGAAGTAGGAAGGTGTAATCGTAGTTAGTTAGGATCCGATTTAGTCAAATTCGAGGTCCCAATCGCTCTACTTCCTAAATTGTTTACAATTTAGGACAATGTAATCGCAACATTACGATTTAGAACAACCAGTCGGCGGTCGGCGCCCGCGCTTTGATACAAGCGGATGTCTTGAAGTTTTGATAGAAGTATGATATCAGAGAGCAGTACTTTAAATTTTAATATTAATTTCCGGTGGCTATAAAACGTAATGTCACCATCAAACATTTTTTGGTACTCACACTTTATCGAAATATCGTGACTTCTTTTTCATTATGTTTGGATACCAAACTTAACAAATAATAATCAAACTGTTTTATAGGTGGTAGAGCCATCCTGCAGCTAAATTATTAGTATAGTTGTAGCACGAATGGGTCTGCTCGAGCGAGGAAGCACCACGCTCTCACAGAATGCCAGCGTAAAGTAGTAGCTTAATGTTGCTGTGTTTCGTATGGCGATTGTAGAGAACAGGAGACCCTTTTTACTGGAAACGAGGCATTCCATCTTAGTCGTCACAGGTGACAACGCATCTGCATTTTGATTTGTAATCGGAGATAGATGTAGATGTCTATGGGCCGCAGCAACCACTTATCATCAGGTGGACTGTGTGCTAGTTTGTCACCCTATCCTATAAAAAAAAAACTGCTTAGAATCTAAAAATATATAATTATATCCATATTGGACAGTTTTTTCTCAATGACAAGTACTCTATTCTCTTTTTTTTTTTTAATATCCATTGTTCCCACCACGGCTAAGGCAAGTCCTATTTTCTGCTGTTTTGATAAATACGGCGCCATCGATCAAACGTGAAACCCCATCAATACTTCTTTACGTATGCGCTTCGTCACGATTTAGAATTCAATTTAGTGTAGTGTGATCACGAGCTTCCAATTTTGGTTCCTAATTAGATTTTCTAAAAATTGTATAATGTAATAAGCGCTTTAGCCTCAAAGTCGCAAATTAGTAGAAAACCAATTCAATCTCTATCTATCTACTTTTTACTATCGTTATCTTTGTTTTAATGTAAGTAAGACTGATACTCAAAGAAGATTTTCAATAATCCACATGTATATAAAATTGAAAAGTCCATCTGTAATATCAAAATAGCTGGCCTCTAGCTCGGAGGTTATTAGAATGCTATTAAGTTTTTTGCAGTATATTGATACATGAATACCCATTTTTAAAATTCAAAATGGCTGAACCGATAGTGTAGAGGGCAATTCCAGATATTTTCTAAGCTATTTTATTCGAAAAACGTGCAAGTTTTTTTGTGAACATAAAAAAACTGTAAAATAAATATTTTTGGTGATTATATAAACATTAAGATATATAGAAAAAAATATCGTATAGTTTTTTTAATATGCAATTTTGAAAAAAGGTTATGTCTTCTGTTTTACTTCAACACCATCTTACAACAAAACTATGATTGTTAAAGGATAAAGTGATAAGATCTTTTTTACCTGAAATTAATAAATCTAAAATTTTTAATTTAACCATTTCACCATATCCCGCATACTTTTCAAATAATTGCAAAAAAACTAAATTTAAAGTAGGTCTTCAGTAATTTATTACTTGTCCAAATACCACCACTATAGATCTGCCAAGTGTTCGACGCGAACAAAGTAACAGGGAAAAACTGGTTATGATATAGGTAATTATATAGTTTTTATTGGTGTAACTGTGAGAGGAATACATAATTCGATAGACATATAAGCCGTACGGTAATATGAGACCTATTGCAAGGCAATCACTGCAAGAATAAGATATTTATTTTTTATTCGAACTGACCTTTCTCAGAGCTACAACCTTCTGCAGCCTCTCATTAAGACCGGCTTGAAGGGCTCCATTCCTTAGTCGGAGCAGTGGGGTCTCTTTGGTAAAAGTGGTGTCTCTTTGTGTTTGTTCGCGGCCATCTTTTGCCGTGGATAAATCGGCGTCCACTGGCGCCGAGATGTCCCCACGATCAGGGTACATTGGTTCTGGAGAAATGTAGCCGACACCTGATAAAAAGTAAACGTTATTTATTTATATATGCAACAATCCGAGCGAACAATACTACTGAAAATTCAAAAGGAAAATTGTAATTTCTGAATTTATAATTTAATTTCTTATTTAATCAAATCAACGTATTAACTTTAACAAAATTTTAATATGTAAGAATATGTGTAAAAGTACTTATTGTAACTTTATACAGAAACAGTATGTTTTATTTATGCAGGTGGGGTAATATTCGGAACCACGGGATTGGTATTTACAATTTTTAATACGACCCGGTCGTCGGTTTGGCTGTTTTGAAATGAACAAAAGCCTACCAAAGTGAAACGGTCGAGAGTGCAGGTGTGATTTTGATCGCTAGCTTTTTCACTTTGACGTGGTATCTGGTGTCAATTTCTAAACGAAATCGAAGTAGCAACAACACCGAACAGTATGCCTTGCCTGAAGTTGCCACTGCTGAGACCAACAAGCGACCGAACACGAGGCTCCGCAGGTTACTGGTTCACTATGACAATGCGGCCGCCAACTCATCTCCCAAAACGAGGGACTCCCCCTTCTATCTTATTCTCTAAAGTAAAATCAGATGAAAATGATACAGTTTTCATCGCCAGAAGATGCGTTAGTATCGTTAGAGCAGGCCGCAGAAGAGGTGTCTAAGGCGGACTATTCACCTAGGTGTCCGATGGTGCAGTACCTGCACTGCTGTGTTCAGATCTCATAGCCAGTATAGTGTACGGGCTGTGAGGCATTACATCCAAGTCCTCAGAGGTACAACGTAACTGTAGTCCTCTTTGTTTGAAGGGCTGCAAGAGCACATGGGTTGCAGTAGCCACTTGGGATCAGGTTGGTTCAAGGTTCATTTATCATTTCAATAGTATACAAAAAAAAAACAGTTGTGATAAGTACAAAATAATCAAGAAAAGAAACCACAACCTAAAAAAAAAAACGCACGCAAACCAATGTTAAGCACTACCTCGTAAATGAAATCGCAGGTACTCGGTTATTTTTGGATAGATTACTGTAATTGCAGGTGTCAATGATAAATGATAATGCATGTCAGTCAAAGGCCTGGATCTAAAATACATTATGACTAATTTTTATTAGAGTAGATGGTTTACAAGAACTTATGATGAAACTTTGCATAGCTGAGCGTATTTTATTAAAAAGCAGCTCTGATTGTAGATCCTACATAGAGAAAACGTAGTAAAATTTTTGGGCACAAATAAAATTATATGTAATTATGGTCTTTATACGTCTACGAAAACAACTGCCAAACCATTTCTTCGATTCTAAAGTGTTTCATACTTTGCCAAATGATGTTATATGCTCGTACAGCGCTGTCTACCATAATTTCTAATCGGAAAGCAGTAAATAGCCAAGACAGTTAAGCCCATCATTCAAATACATATTTAACTTTATCGTATCTTTAGGTACCTACAACCTGTGCACAATTGCAACGCATCGTACAAGGTGTAAACTTGCGCACGTGTGTTGAACTAAAGAATATGTGGCAAGTATGATAGTGTATTTATCGGTAAGTTTACAAAATCATAAAAGTTAAGTACATATTAACCTATATTAAATTTGTTAATGGCCTTTTGTCGTTTTCTGTCGTAATATTTGTGTAATTGATTATATCCGGTTGGTAAATATGTTACTACTAGGGATAACGAGTTCGTAGTTTTCCGTATCGTTACGTCCGGAAGTCGTAAAACGCATTTAAACCATGGAATATTTTTCAAACGACATTAAAATGTTGCCTTATGCTGTGTCGACAAAATATCAAAAAATTTTTTGTTGGTTTGGTCAACCTTTTCAACGACAATGGTAAAAGTCAATTCTCTACCACCATTACACGGAAAATGCCTAGAGCTAAAATTATGACTAATGGACAGTAACTGTTTACTTCTTAATATAATTTCCATCCATTTAAAAAAATAATTAATATATTTATACAAACAGAACGCACGATTAGCAAGGATTTCATTGTGTGACGATCAATTGTTTGTATACATCTATTGTTCTCGACTACCGGCAACGCACTCTAGCGGATCACTCGTTTAATACAGTACTAACTTGATATATTATTATTATGTATTTCATAACTTGACTGCCTCGTTGATCTAGTGGTAAAAGCGCATTAATTAAAACTACATTTAAAAGCGCAATTTTTTTACATCATCTAGGAGCCTACATCACAAGACATTTAAGATTTTAAAAGTACTAAGTTAATATAACCGCAAAATATTATATAAAATATCCTTAAGAACTAGTTTCATGCAATGTGTAAGAATCATGTCATCTTCTATTTCTGTTTTGGAGTAATAATGAAGTCGGGGGGAAAAGTACCTTCGTATTTTATATACAAATTCGAGACATTGTTCGATAACTTGTTGCGATCTTGTAGGTTGTGACATAACCCAGTTGCTGTAGAAATCTTGGGATTTTTGATTTAAAAAAAAATGCGACAAGTAGTGTTGACAGTCCGCCCTTAATATTTTTTTATGGATTAAAGATGAGAAACGAGCACACAGTCCACCTGATGGTAAGTGGAAGCTGTGATTCAAAATGCAAATGCTAATAAATGACTAAGATGCATGAATGATGCAGAATGCTTCGCGTTTGCAGTAAAAAAGTTCTCTACACTCACCATACGAAACACAACAGCCTATTCTGTGAGGGACCCATTTGTGCTACAACTAATATAGTTGCAGCTTGTTTTACGTGGTAGATCCACGTAAAACCTTACACTACCCAAAGAATTCTAAAATTACCAGATAATAGATATACAGGCGAAAATATGAGGGTGCAAGGTTAGGACTACATGGCGGATATATTAACACTTCCCAACCAAGCTCTCGCAATTTTTGCTGAGTAGCCAAAGATGTGTGCGGTCTGATTAACATGATGAAAGACCACTCTTTTTCTGTTGCTTAACTCCGGCCGTTTTTTTTCTTGCTTAAGTCTAATTAGTTATTGGCGGTAGAGATCCGAATTGATGGTTTTAGTCGGCGGGAAAAGCTCAGAATAAACGAATGCCATTCCAATCCCACTATACACAGCATCACTTTATTGCGTGTTAATCCGGGTTTCGGTATAGTCTATGGAGCTCGACTACCCTTTGACCATGGTCTTTTTCAATCAATATTTTACAAAATGGTTCGGTTTCATTACGCTTCAATAGAGAATCTCAAATGATTACACGATTCATTTGGTTTCTTACAGTAAGCTCATGTGGTTCCCAAATATCGAGCTTTTGTATAACTACACTTCTTCAAATACATCAAAACTGTTTTGTGTTCAATCCTCAATTCCTCGGCTACGTCGTAATTACTACTAATACGCCGATCTGGCTCCACTGTTTCAAAAACGGGATCGACTTTATCCGTATGAGGGCGACCGGAGCGTGCTGCATTTTTGACATCAAAATCCCCGGACTGAAAACGCTTAAACCAACTTTATGCCACTCTTACTGACACTGCATTAGGTCCATAAACGTCATAATTCTTTTTCGCGGCTTGAGTCGCATTTTTTTGTAATAAAACTTCAGAATGTATCGAATTTCTTCTTTAGATTCACTTATTTTGGCGGACAGAAAAACGATTAAAAATGACGGGAGATTGTTTTTAACATTTTCTTTTTCTTAATGTCCTATACACAGAATACTATAATACATACATAATAGAATGGGGGAGTGGGCGGAGCCCGTGTAGCCACTAACATGTCACTAACATGTCAATTAACACGTATAAATATCAACAAAATCAATCGTTTTTAATTTTCGTGTCAAGCGTCGCTGCATGCAAATTATTTAAAAATGGCAAATTGTGCAATAATTACGTGTCGAAAGAACAGCGGGAAATGGAATTTAAATAAAGGTAACATATCCTACAATCTGTTAATCGAAACTATTTATATTTTGTAAATATTAGAAACAAAAATAAAGAAATATTGATGTGCCAGAACATTAATCAAAACTCTAAAATGTGTAAATTCGCTCAGCATGTCAATACAGCGAATCGGGTTTGTAGTAGTGATAATACGACGTAATTGCTTGTATGTGTACTTCCGGGAACTCCGATCCTCGTACAAAATAAGATTGACAGCCATTCTTTTGTGTATTATAGTATTTTATGGTGCTATGTGTATTGTAGAGATGGGCCGAATATTCGTTTTATATTCGGTATTCGGCATATTCGGCAGCTTTACCGAATATTCGGCTAAATCACCGAACATTCGTTTTCATAGTGTCCAATGTATTGAAATGTACGAATTGAGTAATGCGATGTCTTTTACTGTTGAAAGTATATTTTATTTATGGGTTAAATCTACTTACACTAGAGTGCCTCAAATGCAAAAATCTATACATTTACGTTTTTGAGGCACTGTGGATTTATTTTCGATTATGGCAAATAGAAACTTGATAAAATGTTTTTGGAATCAAAAAAGAAGCATATTAGGGCAGTGCGGCGAACAATTCCTTGCCCTAAAACCCCCTCAAAAATGAGCGGAGGCCTGTGCCCAGGAGAGGGACGTATATAGACGGTAACTTTAACTTTAATTAAGAATAAAACAACGAAATACTTTTTTTTATCACAAGAATAGTCAAAACATAAGCATATGCCGGCAATTTGCTTAGTAGGTACTAGATGATGCAATAACTGTCAGGTGTGGCGGGGGAGCGAGAGGCAGGGTCCGGCGCTAATCCCGCGCGCTTTACGGTAACAAGTTTCGACATAAATTGGTTAGGTCCCGAGGTCCTGTCGAATAATGTTCGGCCGAATATTCGGTTCGGTAAAAATTTTACCGAATATTCGGCTGAATATTCGTATTCGGTGCAATCCATATTCGGCCCATCCCTAGTGTATTGATATTATAACCAGCTAGATACAAACACTATAACCAAAAAGATTATACTTCAATTTTATACAAACAAAATACGAAGAAACTTTTTTCCCGACCTAAACTAGCTAAACCTAAACTTACTAAGCTAAATATTACCATC